TAACCATTTTTTTAGATAACGACACTTCTGACCGGTGTGTTTATTCTTCTGCTCCTATCCATGTATACTATGCACTTGCAGTTCCTACACAAGTGGTCTCTAGCTGTGTTGTCGCATTGATCTACTCCAGTTTGTTACCCCAATTTGTAGTAGTTTGTCTAGAATGTGTACCCATAACACTTTCCTTGATATATATTCATTTTCAAAAACAATAAAAATAAAGAAGCCTATTATCAGTAAGAATTAATGGTCAGGATACTCGGTGCATAATATCACGGAATATATTGAGACTCGCATAAGAACACTTGCACGAAATAAATAATGGGTGTGCCTATCAAGGCAACACAAATACTATTCTTTTCCTTGTTCAACGTTCAACCAAAGAATAAAAGAAGCATAGTAATGGACATCCTATGAGATCATCTCCAAACGTGGAGGCACTCACCCTTGGTACCGACCTTTGTAGCGGCTATGCTTATATTCAAAGCATACTAAGCTAAAATAGGAGGGGAAGGCATGAGAAAATATAAACACATCTGCACAACAAAAGGAAACTATATGTCAGGAACATACACACAGATAGATGGTATGGCAGAAGAACAACCAAAAAACCTGAAGGGCTGCGACATATTGTGTGTAAGGCAGAAGAACAACTGAAAATCCTGATGGCATGGTATAAAAACATGATGAAACAAAACTCAATTTGGTAAACCTATATGTTTTTAAGAAAACAACCTGTAAAGCAACTCACACCCATATCAATGTCAAACAGATAGCAACACTGTTTCTTAAAAGCCTATGATACTATTTGTATTTACAATATATGCTCAGAGACATAGTAACAAAACTGAATAATTTAAGTATACTTAGACAGAGACGGTTTGGAGCAGAGTGTCATCGACGGTGAAGTGAGAAGCTGCAGCAGAGGGCTTCATGGCGAGGCAACAGGCTCAAGCAGAACAGGGAAGCGAACATGCATCTACACAATAAAATTTTAAGCATGGATCTGCAAATAAAGATTGCCCAGATGGAAGAACAATAGCCTGGGCAAATGATTGAGCTACACATGAGAATAAGATGACCTAATGAGTGTAAATAAAAATTTCTTGCATGAACAAAATTGTACATATAGACAGTCCAGCTTCCGCACATGAACAAAAATCTACAGATAGACACAGCCCAGCATGAGCAAAAATCTATAGAGACAAACAACAGCAAAATCAGATCAATTCTTTCATGTGACCATCCATCCAACCTGAAATCCACAACAATATATGGTTAGACAATCCTACAAAATTAAAGAACACCACACCAAAACAAATGTAAATCCAGATCTGCCTCTCCTTGAACACCAAACCAAATCACCAAGGTTTGCTGTTCCACTCCCAAACAGTCCCAAATCCATAATAGAGGTAAATGGTTTTATACATTTTGAGTATCACCCAATGTTTCTGGTTGGGATTGACGTTGTACACAAAGATGCAAGCAAGCTGTGTAGCAAAGATGAAAAAATGAAGAGACTGCATGTTGACCTACTCATGATGTAAAGAGTTACTCCCTCCGTCCCATAATATAAGACATTTTTGACACTGTCATAGTGTCAAAAAAACGTCTTATATTATAGGAAGGAGGGAGTACTTTTCAACCATTGCTATGGCAACACAGCACATCAACACCTGAGCAACACAACAAATACCGCAGACCAGCTACAACACAGGTATAATTTAATAAAGAAACATAGTGCTTAGAAATGTTGATTTGAATTTTGAACCTTGTCAGCAAGTGGTCCAGATATGAACCAATTACACAACCAATGCCCATCTTTATTGCTAAGAACACATCCAACTATTTTTAGAGAACGACATGCAATGCTAGAATGGTTATTTACCACCTTCTGTGACTACAGTAAACTTCAAGCACTTTGGACATCTACAAGGTTCATCATCATATCGAATTCAGGGCATTTCACCATTCTTCAATACCAAATATCCATCTTCATTTGATATGCAGATCTCAGTCACAGCCTGATGGCATATCGAATTCAAGGCATTTCACCATTCTTCAGTACCAAGTGTCCATCTTCATTTGAGATGCAGATCTCAGTCACAGCCTGATGGTACTCTTTCTCACTAATTTTTCTCTTTAAGATACTCAGAGCACAATCAAGGATTTCCTGCTTCTTTAATGTTCCATTGGGAACTCTATCACGGAAGAGCTTAATGAGACAATTTCGCACACTAGCCTTCTCCTCGGACTTTTGAACATATAAATCATGGACAGGAACAGCAACAAGACGTATTGAAGCATCAAGCTCTTTACGAGAAAGTGAAACACAAGTTTGTGCAGCGTTTGACAGAGCTTGGAATCTTGCTCCATCTTTCCTGTCAGAGGCATATTTTACTGCCAAGTGCCTCAAGTCTCTAACAACGGCCGGAAAGCTGCGAACTTTATTGGCAGTGAAGACACTATCCAAGACAGAGCGCACATGGTTTTCACTTCCTTGAACGAGGCCATCCTTGGTCTTACCCATTACTGGATCAGGCCCTTTCACAGGAATGTTAGATTTGGTTGAGTTCTTGGTTTTCCTTTGTTCAGTAGCACTGCATTTCTCTAGGGGATCAGGCATGGTTGCAGCACGGACCGACCAAGCATTTTCTTGCTCCTTGACTATATGGGAGTAACGTTTTATGAAGGATGAATCTGCTGCTACTATAAACTTGTAGTCTTGAAGCTTCTCCCTTCTTTTACCCAGCGGATTCAATATCATGTTCCTTGTTCGCTCATCTCTGATCAGTCTCTCCACATACTTCACAGGTATGGATTCCATTTTTGTAAACTCGAGCATAATTTGATCCCTTTTGGAAGCGAGTCCATCATCATACAACAAAGAACTTCTGCAGACCCATAAACCACGCACCAAATCAGCATACACCGGAAGAGTTTCCAGAAGGTCTTCCTCCGAACAGTCTGGAGCAAGATGCATTAGAGCAACAAATCGACTCACTTGTGACACCTCAGTAAACCATTTCTTCAGGCGCTCTTCCAGTGGAAGTGGAAGCATCTCCCGGATCGCCTGGCTTCTGTTAATATTCTTGCTGCCTGTCGGCCCTCCAGGACACAATGACAATGCATAATCATGTGTGCTCATTGTGAAATCTATAGGCCTGCCCTCGCTCGCTACCATCTCAGCATAGTACTTGCTTGCAACATCACTCCCAGCTGGTTCGTAAGTGAGAGAAATCCATGGCTCAGGTTCTTCAGGGGAGACCTTGGAACCATCTGGGTGCTGACTTCCCTTAACCGATGGAACAGCCTGGCGACCAGCACCACCACCATTTGTTTCCACCTGTTGCAAAGGCTGCCTAGTACGCGAAGCACCAGAAATCAGATGCGGCATTGACGGCCGCAGCTGCATCACCGCATCAAGATGATTCAGATGAACCATGTTGCCTCGGAGAACTCCAACGGCATAGTCAGACACATCGGCCGCCTCCGATGATGACAGCGTCTGCGTCGTCAGCCTCAGAGACGCAGAAACCTCCGGGTCGTAATTGTCGCTCTGCGTATCGACCTCCAAGTCCACCTCAACCTTTGAGCTCCCTGGCTTCACGCGCACCTCCTTGCACACCTCACCGAGCTCGTACGGACGCCAGCATGGCCTCAGCGGATACTGCATGATGTACAGCTTGCTGTCCTTGTCGAAGGGCTTGGGCGTGAAGTAGACGTCGATCTCCCGCACCACAAAGTCCTCGTCCTCGACATCCATGTCATCCGCGCCCTCGCCGGCGCCCACCCTGTCCGTGTCGGTCTCCATCGCATCCACGCCGCCCTCCGGCAGCGTGGCCGCCGCCACGGCGTAGGGGTCACCCTCCTCCGGTTTTGGCTCCGGCTCCGGCTCCGGTTTGTCCTTGGGCTTGGGCGCCGGCTTGGCCTTCGGCTTCGGCTTCGGCTTGGGCTTGGGCTTGCCCTTGACGTTGGGTTGGAAGCGGACGGAGGGGGCAGCGGCGGCGGCGGAAGAGGCCGGGGCGTCGAGGGAGGCGAGGTCGGCCATGTCGATGTCGCCGTCCGTCGCCATGGCTGCCGCTGGCGGCGTGCTGCTAGGGTTCCGCCGCCGAGGGGATTTGGGTTTTCTATTTCTCAGGAAAGAGGTGTGCGGCAACTCGGGGGAGACGAGCGACAGACGCTGCTTATTATCCCGTGCGTTGCTTTGGGCTTGGGCCTGCGGATGCAGAAATGGCAGGCCTGTGCAGCAACGCTGAACAACTCCCTCAAAGAAAAAAACTTTGCGAGGTTTTTTTCTCTTTTTGCGGGGAACCTTTACGAGGTTGCCTAAAAAAAGAAAAAACTCCCTCAAAAAAAATTTGCGGGGAACACAAAATTTTGGCTGGTGTACTGCTGCATCCAGCCAACCACGCGGCCCTTTGGTTTGGGCACGTAACACGAACGTGAACGTCCATCGATCTTGACCACATGCTTTCATTCATGGTAGCACCCCCTTCGTAAAGAAATATAAGAGCATTTAGATCACTAAAACTTATATAATCATGGTTTGCTGTCCATCTCAAGAGGGAATATCATATAATCAGACGATCGTTGCAAGATCGGGCTGAAAATTCAAGCAGACGGGAATAATAGTACAGCTCTCAAGCTTTCTTCGAGCCATTAGCTTTGCCACGGGGGGTTCAGGTTCCTACTTCTACATCGACACATATAATACTAGTACTATACAAACATTACAACAACAGGTGATTACCGAAAGTCCATCTCTACGTACATTCAGTCATTCAATCATAGCCGGACGAGACTGAAGGATGCAAATCTACTCAAGGGGGTCTCTCCTCCCCCATGCAGCTATAATTCCGCATATCCCGCCTGCAACCCGAGACCGCCGCGCATGAAATTCTAAACACATAAAGTCACATTAACTTACAATGCAACTCCATGCCGTAGGAAACCACAGCATGGAAGCTCAGCCCAAGGGTGCCAGTCAGTCAGTGTTCTCATCTCCTTGTGCTGATCAAGGGGTAGCCCGACGCCCAAATACGGGCGTGCTGCCCCTCTAGCCTCGCTTGCAGTAACTTCGCCTTGAGCGTATTGTCTTTTGAGCCGAGAGACTGTGCCGGCGAGGACTCGGATATTTCATGGTCCAGCGACGGGCGATGATGATTCTTCAGCTGCCGCGATGGACTGCACAGGTTGTGCAGATCGCCTGTGGTAGCACATTCAGATATCTGGTAGTCTAACGACGCTCGTTGGTTCTTCAGTTGCCAGGATGGACTGCGCAGACCGCGTACATCACCTGCAGTAGCACATTCAGATATTTGGTAGTCCAACGACGCGCGTTGATGATTCTTCAGCTGCCGGGCTGGACTGTGCAGATTGTGGAGTAGATCGCTTGAAGAAGCACATTCACGAAACTGATACGTCCGGGGATGATGATCGTGCGGTTTTCGCTCTAGAAATGCATGCTGAGGAGCCTCTGATTTGATCTTCAGCAGGTCATCATGCAACCGTCGAGATACTTGGGTCATGACTGTTTCATTCTGCACATCTATAGGATCGATCCTGTCACAGTTGCGGGAGCTGATTTCTGGTGCCGAAGTATGCAGCTGTGCTTTGCTGCTGCCTGGCTTCACCTTGCCTTTTTCTGAACGAGGCCTTGCGGTTGAGATCCTCGAGCCTTCAACAGACACACCATCGGAAAACTCCAGTCTTCTCATTGGTGAATACATGCAGTCGGCGACTGTTCGTCGAGTTCCTGCAAGGTCATGAGTCTGCACAGCATCTCCATGCATGTTCAACTCAAAGCAATGCAAGTCGCTAGCAACGGAATTTTCATCGTCTTCAGCTAACCGAGGGGCACTAGTGGCTCCATTTAAGTGCAGAGATTCAAGGGACTGTCGACACAAGCTTGTGTCTCCCTTTTCATTACCAGTATGTTTGTTAACACCATAGAAGTTGCTTGATCTTCTACCATGAAGGAAACTCTGTATTTCACCGCTCAACCTCTCCGTTATTGAGGTTTTCCCTTCTGAATCTCCCCTGGCATCAGCATTTTGCATCTGTATTCGCTCGTCGAGCCATGCTTCTGAAATATGAACCACCAGCTTATCAGTCTTGTGTTCATACTCCTTTACATGCCTTTGCTTCAACACCCTCACTTCCTCTTCGTAGTTTCTGATTCCTAACGCAAACTCGTCGCAAAGATCTTCCAACAGGCGAGTTGCTTTCTGCTCTTTTTCCAGGTCCTTTACAGCCTTGAGAAATGCCGGTTTCATCGCAGACAACTCTTTCCCTAGCTTCCTGTGGAGATTCTCAGAATGTTTCCTCAGATGTCTCTCAGCTTCAAGCTCCTCTTGCAGCAAACGAAGGGTTGCTCTAAGCTTCTCTTGTTCCTTGTTTTTCCGAGCCATTTTGTCTTCACTGACTTGCCTGGCCAGAGACTCAATTTCATAGTGATATCGCTGCCTCTCTTGCGTAAGCTCTTGAACACGTGCCTGTGTATTCTGCAACTCCGATTTCAACCCCTTAACTGCTGACACATCAACCGCATGCTGTTCTTCCAAGCTCCAAATACGATTCAGAACTTTCAATAGCTCTGTTGATGTTTTAAGATTGCACCCTGCATCCCTGTATCTATCCCTGAAATTCAATGACCGGGTAGGACTGACAAGGTTTATGGTAGCAGCCTGTTTAATGAATGGACAGAAAAATACGATTGTGAAAAACATGTTTCTTTCAATTTTATAGCTGCAAAATACTAAACCAATAACATAACATGGCCTCATTGGCGACAGAGAAAAACAAGCATATGATTATAAATAGATTCCTAAGAAATGGCACTACCAGTAGCATGCATGATCACAGTGCAGACTACAGAAATAATATTGGCATTCCAGTCTTGAGATAATAACGCATAATAAGCAACAACCATAATAGCATGTACAGATTCAAATGCTAATTTGCTTACACAATAACACGAAAACTAGAACACTAAAATTACCAAGAGATGGGTAAAGGGAGAGGAAGTGTGTGCATACCCCAATTGAGCTAGTGTAGCTTGCAGGAGAAAGAGACTGCCTTGAATGGCATCGATCTTCATGTAACTTTTCATGTTCCATCAATGGTGCTGAAAGATCCCTACCACAGCCACCTGAAATATGTGCCTGAAATGCGACAGAAGAAGTAAGCTATGGAATTCAGAAATCATGGCTTTGTAAAATAACAAAGCGCTAAGCTTTGAAGCTTACAGCAGAAAAGATGACTCTTCATTGGAATTACATTAAGAGAGTTCAAAATGCATGGCTTTTCGAACAAAAGAAGAACTTAAGCTTTGGCACCTCCAAGAGAAAGCATTGTTCCCTTCAACTAAAACAAGTTTGGGAGGCATCATTCAAAAATTGGCATCATATCAATGCTAGCAAAAAAATCTCTTCAGAAACTTATGTACTTAAAATGGTAAGATCCTATTGATTGAGCATGTACATCACTATAAGAAAAACAGAACATGATCCTACAATACAACATTGCACCAAACAGTTATACATCTAATATGATCCGTAAGTACAAGACAAACTGAAATCCTTTTGTGTGGAATGTGTGATGGCAATACGGCATTGCTCAGCTTAGTGCAGAACGCAAGCTTTTTAGACAGTAGAAGTCTTGGACTGCAAGCTCGTTACCCTTTCATTCTGTGCTCGTTTTTGCCACATAGTTATGCTACCCATCTAACTCCGCCTATGTTGTCTCAACATAGCCGGTCCCAAGCCCGGGTAAAGGAGGAGGGTTGTGATAGGCTTGGCGAGCCAACGTAAAAACTCAGCCACTCTTATGGAGATGAAACCCAAAAGATTTTCGTTGGAGCGTAACCCTCTCAGCGACGCGCCACATCGGAACCCGGGTGTGGTGGAAAATGGGCAAGGGCCGGGCCGTCACCCCCCAAGTGGCGCGCCGTATCTTGATCCGGATACGGTGGCAAGTGAGCGAGGATCGGGTCGTCGCATCCTTAGTGGCGCGCTACATCGGCGCCCGGATGTAGTGGAAAATGAGCAAGGGTCTTCGCATTTGACTCGACGAGTGTGAAGGGTAAGGAAGCTAGACGAGCCTAGGAGGATTCGCTTAGGTAGCTGGAACGTAGGGTCTCTGACAGGGAAGCTTCGGGAGCTAGTTGATGCAGCAGTGAGGAGAGGTGTTGATATCCTTTGCGTCCAAGAAACCAAATGGAGAGGACGGAAGGCGAAGGAGGTGGAGGATACCGGCTTCAAGCTGTGGTACACGGGGACGGCTGCAAACAGAAATGGCGTAGGCATCTTGATCAACAAGAGCCTCAAGTATGGAGTGGTAGACGTCAGGAGACGTGGGGACCGGATTATCCTGGTCAAGCTGGTAGCTGAGGACTTGGTTCTCAATGTTATCAGCGCATATGCCCCGCAAGTAGGCCACAATGAGAACACCAAGGAGTTCTGGGAAGGCTTGGAAGACATGGTTAGGAGTGTACCGATTGGTGAGAAGCTCTTCATAGGAGGAGACCTCAATGGCCACGTGGGTACATCTAACACAGGTTTTGAAGGGGCGCATGGGGGCTTTGGCTATGGCATCAGGAATCAAGAAGGAGAAGATGTCTTAAGCTTTGCTCTAGCCTACAACATGATTGTAGCTAACACCCTCTTTAGAAAGAGAGAATCACATCTGGTGACTTTTAGTAGTGGCCAACACTCTAGCCAGATTGATTTCATCCTCTCGAGAAGAGAAGATAGGCGTGCGTGCCTAGACTGTAAGGTGATACCTGGGGAGAGTGTTGTACCCCAGCATAAGCTGGTGGTTGCTGACTTCCGCTTTCGGATTCGTGTCCAGCGGGATAAGCGTACCAAGGTCGCTAGAACGGAGTGGTGGAAGCTCAAGGGGGAGGTAGCTCAGGTGTTCAAGGAGAGGGTATTTAAGAAGGGCCCTTGGGAGGAAGGAGGGGATGCAGACAATGTGTGGATGAAGATGGCGACTTGCATTCGTAAGGTGGCCTCGGAGGAGTTTGGAGTGTCCAGGGGAAGGAGAAGCGAAGATAATGATACCTGGTGGTGGAACGATGATGTCCAGAAGGCGCTTAAAGAGAAGAAAGATTGCTTCAGACGCCTATACCTGGATAGGAGTGCAGACAACATAGAGAAGTACAAGATGGCGAAGAAGGCCGCAAAGCGAGCTGTTGGTGAAGCAAGGGGTCGGGCATATGAGGACCTCTACCAACGGTTAGGCACGAAGGAAGGTGAAAGGGACATCTATAAGATGGCTAAGATCCGGGAGAGGAAGACGAGGGATATTGGCCAAGTCAAATGCATCAAGGACGGAGCAGGCCAACTCTTGGTGAAGGACGAAGAGATTAAGCATAGATGGCGGGAGTACTTCGACAAGCTGTTCAATGGGGAGAATGAGAGTTCTACCATTGAACTGAATGACTCCTTTGATGAGACCAGCATGCGTTTTGTGCGGCGCATCCAGGAGTCTGAGGTGAAGGAGGCTTTAAAAAGGATGAAAGGAGGCAAGGCGATGGGCCCTGATTGTATCCCCATTGAGGTGTGGAAAGGTCTCGGGGACATAGCGATAGTATGGCTAACCAAGCTTTTCAACCTCATTTTTCGGGCAAACAAGATGCCAGAAGAATGGAGACGGAGTATATTAGTACCAATCTTCAAGAACAAGGGGGATGTTCAGAGTTGTACTAATTACCGTGGAATTAAGTTGATGAGCCATACAATGAAGCTATGGGAGAGAGTCATTGAGCACCGCTTAAGAAGAATGACAAGCGTGACCAAAAATCAGTTTGGTTTCATGCCTGGGAGGTCGACCATGGAAGCCATTTTCTTGGTACGACAACTTATGGAGAGATATAGGGAGCATAAGAAGGACTTGCATATGGTGTTCATTGACTTGGAGAAGGCCTATGATAAGATACCGCGGAATGTCATGTGGTGGGCCTTGGAGAAACACAAAGTCCCAGCAAAGTACATTACCCTCATCAAGGACATGTACAATAATGTTGTGACAAGTGTTCGAACAAGTGATGTCGACACCGATGACTTCCCGATTAAGATAGGACTGCATCAAGGGTCAGCTTTGAGCCCTTATCTTTTTGCATTGGTGATGGATGAGGTCACAAGGGGTATACAAGGAGATATCCCATGGTGTATGCTCTTTGCGGATGATGTGGTGCTAGTTGACGATAGTCGGACGGGGGTAAATAGGAAGTTAGAGTTATGGAGACAAACCTTGGAATCAAAAGGGTTTAGGCTTAGTAGAACTAAAACCGAGTACATGATGTGCGGTTTCAGTACTACTAGCTGTGAGGAGGAGGAGGTTAGCCTTGATGGCCAGGTGGTACCTCGGAAGGACACCTTTCGGTATTTGGGGTCAATGTTGCAGGAGGATGGGGGTATTGGTGAAGATGTGAACCATCGAATCAAAGCCGGATGGATGAAGTGGCGCCAAGCTTCTGGCATTCTCTGTGACAAGAGAGTGCCACAAAAGCTAAAAGGCAAGTTCTACAGGACGGCGGTTCGACCCGCAATGTTGTATGGCGCGGAGTGTTGGCCGACTAAAAGGCGACATGTTCAACAGTTAGGTGTGGCGGAGATGCGTATGTTGAGATGGATGTGTGGCCACACGAGGAAGGATCGAGTCCGGAATGATGATATACGAGATAGAGTTGGGGTAGCACCAATTGAGGAGAAGCTTGTCCAACATCGTTTGAGATGGTTTGGGCATATTCAGCGCAGGCCTCCAGAAGCTCCAGTGCATAGCGGACGGCTAAAGCGTGCGGAGAATGTCAAGAGAGGGCGGGGTCGACCGATTTTGACATGGGAGGAGTCCGTTAAGAGAGACCTGAAGGATTGGAGTAACGACAAAGAGCTAGCTAGGGACAGGGGTGCGTGGAAGCTTGCTATCCATGTGCCAGAGCCATGAGTTGGTTGCGAGATCTTATGGGTTTCACCTCTAGCCTACCCCAACTTGTTTGGGACTAAAGGCTTTGTTGTTGTTGTTGTTGTTGTTGTAGTTATGCTACCCATCTATTACTGTGACACGTTTCTCCATATATACCTTGTAATACTTTGGCTTATCTAATAGAAGCTGGGTGTTTTCCCTTTTGTCAGGGAAAGAAAATTTAGAAGAGCATGAGGTACAGGTTCATTTTTGTATATATTTTGGGATCATTGCACAGTGAGGAACATTAAGGTTATAATTAGAAGATGGAATCATATTTTCCAAGCTCAGAAGTACACTAAAATTGCCAACATTTTATCGCAAAGATCCCAAACAACACAAAGATATTTTTACACCTTCAGAATTGGGATTTTGCTGGGAGAACATCAAGAAAAATAATCACAATCATCAGCCATGCAAGAAATCAAATGCCAGGTCGAAAAGTACATCTCAAAGAACTAAGAATAAATAGGACTGCTAGAATATTTGCCCGCCCATGATTTGTGAATGATCGCCTGGAGGTTTTTCCTTTGACCATTCTATGTCTTTTCCTTAGCTTTTGCATGATCTTACAATAATCAACCGATCATACTCTCAAAACCAAACAAAGAATTTGGTGATCCTAATGAAAAAATTCCTAATCAAAAAACCTCTACATGAGGTGTGGTTTTCAGTACCTTGGAATCAAAAGGTTTTAGACTTACTAGAACTAAAACCGAGTACATGAGGTGCGATTTCAATACTACTAGGCACGAGGAGGAGGAGGTTAGCCTTGATGGGCAGGTGGTGCCTCAGAATGACACCCTTCAATGTTTGGGGTCAATGCTGCAGAAGGATGGGGATATCGATGAAGATGTGAACAATCGAATCAAGGCCGGATGGATGAAGTGGCGCCAAGCTTCTGGCATTCTCTCCGACAAGAGAGTGCCACAAAAGCTAAAAGGCAAGTACTATAGGACGGTGGTCCAACCCGCAATGTTGTATGGCGCTGAGTGTTGGCCGACTAAAAGGCGACATGTTCAACAGTTAGGTGTGACGGAGATGTGCATGTTGAGATGGATGTGTGGCCACATAAGGAAGGACCGAGTCCGGAATGATGATACACGAGACAGAGTTGGGGTAGCACCGATTGAAGAGAAGCTTATCCAACATCGTCTGAGATGGTTTCGGCATATTTAGCGGAGGCCTCCAGAAGCGT